GAAAACTACTGCCAGACTCTATTGACATATATGTTAAAAACTAGTTTCTTTGCAAATTATAAGTATCCTGCAATAGTATAGTTTTTTTTCAAATCGAAGCATATTTAAGATGACCCTTTGTCTTTCCCCCTTTCATCTCACTTGCCCTTATTCCTTTTAAAGAGCTATAATGTCTGGAAAGCTGTACAAACAATTAAGCTAAATCATTTTATAAGCAGTTCTATGAAATGCAAGACTGGTTTTTTTCTTAAGGTCCAAATGTGTAGCTCAGCTTACATGAGCATATAAGCATATTTTGCTTAAATTACATTTCCATCTGACAATATTAATTTCATCAAAGAAGCTTAGTATAAAATTAATTATAGCTATCATTTATGTTATTTCCTCTTCCCCTTTCATCGAAGCTTCAATGAGAATTCATCAACTGAAGGGCATGATTCACATTTTAACAACAATAATAATGGAAATAACCCAAACTACTTTTATTTCCCCCCTCCTACTAGAATTCCGTGACTAAAGACTTATCTCTTAATGCTGTTGGAAATGTAATAATATATTGTGAGGATCAGGGGAAATGCTCCCAATGGCTGTAATGAGAGCACATCTTGTCAGACTCTCCTGCTGACAAAGAACATTTCTGTTTCATTGACTTTGGGGAATAACCTCCTGCAATTGTCTGAGAAACAAGTTCCAAGAACAAATCGGAACCAATGTGCAAATGCCATCCCGTTGAGCATGAAGACAAGGGTATCTGCTTTTACTCCCTCGCCAATTCCAGAATATTCTGCCCTATAAGGAAAGTGACCTCCACAGTCCAGCCACCTTCTCCCTGCCCAGGTCCCCAGGCGCCCACTGCTGGCAATGGAGTCGTCCCTCTAGGTCAGCGGTTCTCAACCTGTGGGTCGCGACCCCTTTGGGGGTCGAACGACCCTTTCACAGGGGTCGCCTAAGACCATCGGAAAGCACATATATAATTACATATTGTTTTTGTGATTAATCACTATGCTTTAATTATGCTCAATGTGTAACAATGAAATTGGGGGTCACCACAACATGAGGAACTGTATTAAAGGGTCGTAGCATTAGGAAGGTTGAGAGCCACTGCTCTAGGTATTGGCCCTGGGGTGCATCCAGGGTGCAGGAAGCAACCGCAGAGCAGGTGAGGATGCCATGTACCTCAGGCATCCAACTAAGGAGAGAGACTCCTCAGGACAGGCAGCCTTTCTGCGGTGTCCACGGGTCAGGACAGTCATAAGGAAATTAATTCCATACCCTCAGCTTGCAGCTGTGTGTTTTTCTCCAGCTGACCTGCCTGAGAACCTGAGAGGGTTGCCCTGGTTCTCCTGCCCCCGCCTCCCTTCACAGTTGCCCTGCCCTGCAGGGCTTTACTTCCAGAGTGAAAGTCTTACCTGGCACCATTGTGAATGGAGCTCTGGTGGGAAAACTCCCAGGAGGCCAGAGAACAGGAAGATTCCAAGCTTGGATGGAGGTGCGGCCTCCCTCACTCATCACACTCAGGTAACGGATGGGGAGGCAGGCCTGAGGACAGTTTCCTTTCACCATCTTAGCTCCTCCACCCCCAACGGAGCACTTCTGAGGGAGGGTCAGGGGTAGAAATGGGGTAGAAATGGGAGGAGTGCTGCTGGAGGAAACACAGGCCCAAGTGTCTCGGTTGCATGTTTTGCACGATTCTAAGAGAAGGAAAAATTCCCGGTTTTTCCTATTACATGGCAGTATATCTTTAAGTAAAAGGGATCTAGGGGGAAAAGGTAAATTAATGTCTTATGTGTTATGTTATTTACCCAGGTAGAGAAAGCAGTGCATTAACCTTTGTTTTACATTAACCTTCGCATTACATTAGCTGCTGTAAACACATATTCATTTTTAACTAGGGCACCAACCTCTCACTTATCTGCATTTGCCTATGTTCATTTATTCCATAAACTTTAAAGCTGAATTAAAAATAGATTATGTTATAGATTTCTACCATAAATCATGCATTTAGGCATACTATTTAATTCATCTCTTAATTTATGCATCTTTTAATTTAATGTGTCATTTATATACCCTACAATTAATATCGGTCATATAGTTTTTTGTGACAATTTTTACAAAAATATAAACCTATAGTCTTAAAAACATACCATCCTCTTACACGTAGATGTCAGACAAAATGTTTCTAAAGTGTATTCTAGGGTATAATATCTTAAATTCTAGAAAGCCAGTTTCATTTCATTTGCACAGGTTCCTCTTTTGCAGATTCAAATCTATTTTGATTATGTCAAATATATAGTTATAAAAATTATATTTCATCATGAAATAGTTAGAATTTATTTATACATAATAATTCTTAAGTATCATAACTTTAAAAATTTTAAGATGACTCCCTAGATAGTTTAAATTTGGCATTGATATCTAGATCTGTGTTCAGAAATGATGGGTAAATTCCTGAAGTACAAAAGTCCAATTTTACAGAGTTATTTTTTATCCCAGTTTTATATAAGTTTTGCTCCATAAACAAGAGATCTCTAAGTTAAAAATTAATAGGCATAACTGATAAATTATATTAAAGTCTTTTTAATATATTGCCCAGATCCTTTTGCAAATCAGATAGTTTTCAATTCTTGTCTTTTACAAAATTAATTATCATTATGAAGTCATCAGATGTTAAATAATTAAAAATATTTTACTATAGATTACTATATTCTTTTGGCATGCAGCTTAGAACTTCAAATAACTAAGTGCTATTCCTATATCAAATTTTTTCCCTTCTCACCAACTTTGTCAGCAAATTTTTTCAGTACCTACATCTAGATTAAGAAAGAAAGGAAGAGAGGAGAGGCAGGGAGGAGGCAGAATAGGGGAGAGGAAAAGAGAAGGGAGAAAACGGGAGAGAGAGAAACTTGAAGTTGAACTCTGTCATGTTCTAGTGATAAATAATATTCATCACTAGATTCTTAAACTGATAGGGGAAAAAACAGCTTGATCCATCACAATATCAGATGCATTTTCAACAGACTTTACATTTTACATTTAATAATTGTCAAATTTTATAATACACTAGAGGCCCGGTGCACGGATTCATGCACCAGTGGGGTCCCTCAGCCTGGCCTCCAGGGATCGGGCAGAAACTGGCATTGACAGTCATGCATTCCTCTCCATCCTTGGGCCACTCAAAGGCCCATTCTGATGTGTGTCCTTCAGATCATTTGTGCCTTATTTAGCCAAAGTCATTTACTGGTGACATCCACCCATGGATATATTTTTCTCTTTCTTACTGTTACAGAAGTGAGGTATGCCTTCTTGTGCATTAAACTGAAACTAATAGAAAGGTTATATTAAGAATCATTACTTTTGCCCTAAGCAAGTCCATCTCTCATGGGGTCTAGAGTAGCCTGAAGTCCTATACATAAAGAATAGCACTTGGCATGGCTTTGCCCTTACCACAGAATGGTTTCTTGAGTTTTAGGAATTCTTTCAGGAATGTGGAAGCAATCAAGCTACAATATCTGAAACACCATTGTCTACATACACAGCTGACTTATATATAGTTTTTAAAAACCATGACTTTCAATGTGATTTTCATGGAAACTATTAAAAATAATTATCTGAATTTGGCTTTTGGCAAAAAAAAAAAATCTTTAGCCTTTTGATTTCGTTGCTTCTATATCTTTAAAAGTAATTTTAATTTTATGAATTTCAAATTGTCTTTTTAACATGTCATTTTAACAGTGACAATTTTAGAGCAATCAATTGATTCTGTAGTCCATACTATTTCTTGCGCTAAGCATCATACCATCTTAAACACTATTGCTAACTCATTCTGTTTGTTTCTCTCTGAGTATCAGGAGAATTCATTTGTCTAGAAGCCAAGGACATGCTGTAGAGCTGATGGATTTTCAATGATACACGCACAAAGGCCAATCCACACAATTGTATCAAATATTCAAGCTTTAACTCTATTGCTTTGGCCTCTTAGTTTTGAACAATTCTTCTAACTTTAAAATGATCCCTCTTCTCCCTATCATGTGCCCTAAATTCTTGCTCCCTCCCTGTTATAACTGCCTCTTGCAAGAATATTTGAAACTAGTTCACATTAGAGTGTAATTGATTGTTTTCAATGTGTGGGCATGGGGATAAAGGCTGTTCCAGTGGAACTGAAAGTTAATCATTAAGCTAGAAGAATGACTTTTCTACATAAGAATTTCAGATGTGCGGCTGAAAAAAAGATGTTTCAGTGGAGAGGACTTTCCCATCCTGAAACTCAACCTATGTCTTCTAGGCCATTAGCCACGGAGCAGGCTAGTCCACCCTGCCTGGGACCCTGTGGCGGCTCTGGGAGAAGAGCCCAGCCTGCATACTTGGTGCCTTCTGATAACACTGCAGGCATTTGCCATCACTTGAAGATTTAGAATTGCAAAGGAACGTTCATGATGCTTTCTTTTCTTCTTTTACTTTATTTGATCACTCCAGAAAAATCTATTGACCACCTACTGTGTGCCTGAATGGATACTAAGTGCTATGAATACAGTTGTGAAGAAGAAGTCCATGGCCTTAAAGGAGATAAATCTAATGTGGGGGGCAGGGAATGAGCAGCTAAAGGCTTTGTAAATGGACAGTAGTGGCCTCCGGAAGTATAGAAGAGCTTCTAACCCAGCTTTGGGAGGTCAATAAGGGTGTCCAGAAGGAGGTGATGGCTCAGCCAAGCCCTAAAGGACCAATCAGGGTGAGCCAGGCAAAAAGGAGGAAGAAGAATATACTGAGAAGAGTGGGTGAGCAAAGGCTCTGGGGTTGAGAGTGAGTGTGTTTCACTTGGAGGACCACTTCCAAAAAAATGAGTGAAGCGGGGGGTCTGGCAAAAGGCAGAGAAGGGAACGGGGAGGGAAATCAAGGCCCAGTCCTGGAGGACTTTGTAAGCCACTATACAGAACTTACATTTAACTCTGAGGTGATGAGAAACAATTGTAGGGTTTTCAACAGAAAAATGACAGAACCAAATATACATCCCAGAAAGTTTATTCTGACAGCAGCATAGAGATGAGATTAAAGATAGGCTTGAGCTAAGGTAAGAAAGCTGAGGTGGAGACGAGCACACAGTCACAGCGTTGTCAGGTAGTGGGATCACAGGCTTGGTCATCAAGCAGATGGGGTGGTGGTCAGGAAGAGTCCAGGATGACAAAGGAACAAAGGGTGTATCACCCCTTGATATGGAAATCCTGAAAAATAAATAGTTGGGTTCAGTTTGGGATCCTAAAGAAAGGATGCTGTGGCCCTAGCCTGTTTGGCTCAGTGGATAGAGCGTCAGCCTGCGGACTGAAGGATCCCAGGTTCAATTCTGGTCAAGGGCACATGCCAGGGTTGTGGGCTCGATCCCCAGGAGGGGGCGTGCAGGAGGCGGCCGATCAATGATTCTCATCATTGATATTTCTCTCTCTCCTGCTCCCTTCCTCTCTGAAATCAATAAAAATATTTTTAAAAGAAAAGAAAAAGAAAGGCTGCTGTGGGGTGCCAATGGCATGGCCGGCAATAAGACTGGCCTCCCATGGAAGGGCCCGCCCAGACTGTCCAAACGTATGTGGTGCCCTGGCTGGGGATTGGGAGAGAGATTCTCATTGGAGATGAAGACTTGAGGGTTATCAGCACCTAAATAGCATTTGAATCGCAAGAGTAGATGAATCCCCCATCACCATAGACAGTAAGTACAATAAGAGGGCCAAGAATCTGAAGACACTCTGCTGTTTACTGAATAGCAAAAGGAGAGAAATCCAAAAAACACCCTCAAGAGGATCCAGTAAAAGCAGAGAAAGGAAAAAGGGAAAAGGTATTTGCAGTTTAGGTAAATTGCCACCAGGTGGAGTGTGGTCTCTAAATTAGAATCTCTTCTCAGAATTTAAAATTCCCGCAAATATCCTGACCTGGTCTGATAAGATACTTGCACTTCAATGCTTCCCAAATGAGCACATTAGCTTTAGGCCTAAATTCTAAATCTCTCCCTTAAAAAATCGTACACACCACACTACGCTTTGTCATGTCAGGTTCAGACAGGAAGTATTGGAAAGGGCATATTCCCTGAGGTCAGGCCATTCTGACTGCAACCCACAGGTCCAGGCGTAGCTCTCTGACCTTGTCACTTAGTCTTGCCTTGCCTCCGTTTGAAACAAAACTTAATGAAAAGAGCGACTTAGGTACACTTCACATAACTTCCTGATTCCCTTAAACTGTTTTTAATTATTTCTTAATCTAACCTGGGTTTTCATTCCCTCGTATTAATTGCAATTCATTCTTACGTTGGCAGAAAACGAATAGCCCGGGGACCGCGTGCTTAACCTTAGAGTTTGGCAATGCTGTCCATGGAAAAAGCCCTTGGTCCTTTTCACCTGCTGGCGGATTAAGTCCCTCATTAAGAGGCTTAGGCAAGCCACTTCAGCCAGTGCTTATAAGAAAATCTTGGCATCGAGATGCCATTTCAGAGCCTGGCCCTCTTCCGCTGCCTGCCTTTGTCCACGCCGAGAAAGAAAACACTCGCTGGCCCTCTGAGCCCCGTGACCCTTGACAGCTAATGAAAGCCTGGTTGCCCGAGCTACGCTGGCTCCTGCGCAGGCCCCTGGTTCCGTGCTGGCCACTGCCACCCCGCCAGCGGGCAGGCGCTCTCGGGGGACTGCTTTCACCGGCCAGGGTGGAGGGAGGGGTGCTTGGAGATCTGCAGTGCTCGGCCTCCTGGACCCAGTTAAGCCTTTCCCCTACAGCTGTCAAACATGTTCTTTTCTTCTTCTCAAACTTTTAAACAATTCTGAATGCTAAACAATAAAAGATATTTTAAAACAACTTTTTAAAGCATTGTTTTTCTGAAGGCGGTGAAACTACTCTGATACTACATGGCAGATACCTGTCATTACACATTTGTCCAGCCCCCAGAAGGTACACCACCACGGAGAACCCTAATGCAAGCTACCGTGTGGCCCTTGGGTGGTAACAGCATGTCTGTGTAGTTCATTCATTGTAACAGACGCCCCTCTGGTGCAGGATAAGGACAGTGGGGGAGGCTGTGCCGGGTGGGGACAGCGGGTACATGGGACTCTGTACTCTCTGCTCAATTTTACTGTGAACCTAGAACTGCTCTTTTTAAGTCTATGTTCACTGTCATTGGTATGAGTTTCTACCCTGTGATGTCGGTCCTCAAGGCATCCAGGAAAGAGGAAGCAGGAGGCATGCTGTGTGAGTAGGTTTACCAGATGGCTATCGAGCACCTACTTCGTACTGGAGACTGTGCAATGTGAACACCCCACCCATGAGCCAGACAGACCCAGCTCCTGCCCTCAGGAATCCTGTAGTTGAAAGGAAAAGAAATAAATGAAGTCACCCAACTAAATGCTTCATTTCACTGTGGTAAATGCAAAGAATGTGCTATGAGAGCGTTCCCCGGGGAGCAGCTAGAAAGGGCTATTTCTCTTTCCTTGGCATTTGTTCCCACTCCTTCCTCAACATCAACATGCTGAGTAGTTAGAGGTTAGTGCATTTGGGTAGCTGAGTTAGTGCAGTGGTATCAGTTCATCACCTCTTCCTCCACCCAAGCCTCTCGGCCCCAGAGAGCTGGAGGGTTGCTACTGTGAGCATCTTTGAGGTGACACTTGCGTAGACTTCAGCTGGTTCTCTCCAAAAAGGCAATGCTTCAGTTCCAAAGGCCTCCAGACCCACCTCACACCAGTCAGGATGGCTGTATATTTTATTTTTTTTAAATAGGAAATTGTAAGTGTTGACAGGGATGCATAGACGTTGGAGCCCTTGTGTATTGTTGGTAGGAATGTAAAATGGTATCGCTGCTATGAAAAATAGTATGAAAGTTACTCAAAAAAATTAATAGCTTTACCATATGATCCAGCAATTCCACTTTGGGGTGTGCACCTAAAGAATTGAAAATGGATCTCAAAGAGGTGTTTGTACATCCATATTCGTGGCAGCATTATTCAGGACAGATAAAACATAGACACAACCCTACTGTCCACCAATGGGTGAATGGTAAGCAATATATGGTATACGCTTAACAGTGGTCGGCAAACTCATTAGTCAACAGAGCCAAATATCAACAGTACAACAATTGAAATTTCTTTTGAGAGCCAAATTTTTTAAACTTAAACTATATAGGTAGGTACATTGTTATTAACTTAATTAGGGTACTCCTAAGGCTTAGGAAGAGCCACACTCAAGGGGCCAAAAAGCCGCATGTGGCTTGCGAGCCACAGTTTGCCGACCACGGCAACTAATGAAATTCTGACATGCTACTGAATGGATGGACCCTGAGGACATTATGCTAAGTGAAATACACCAATCACAAAAAGACAACTACCGCATGATTTCACTCATCTGAGGTATCTAGAACAGTCAAATTCATAGAGACAGGAAGTAGAAGAGTGGTTGTCGGGCTTTGAGGGGAGAGAGCAATGGGGAAGGATTGTTTAGTGTGTATAGAGTTTAGTTTTGCAAGATTATAAATTCTGGAGGTGGGTGTGGTGATGGTTGGATGACAATATGAATGTGCTTAACTCCCGTGAATTGCACACTTAACAATGTTTAAGATAACAAATGTTTTATTATGTGTGTCTTAGCACAATAAAAATAATTGGAGAGTAAAAGCATCCGGAAGGCGAGACATTACTACCTTCTTTAGCTGCCCTGTCAAGTTTTTAACCCGCTTACTCACAAACCCGGTGTGGCAAACTGTGAAACCAGGCGGAAGGTGACCAAATGCTTTCGTCATCTTGGCCCTCTATTCTCTCCTGCCCTCTGCCTCTCCTAGAGTAATTGTTTACTTGGTGAGTCAGAGAAAGGTGAGCATGCAGGATGTATTAAACAATGGGGACAGGGATCTTGAGATATTGTGCCCCAGATTTAGCAATCCCTACCAGTTGAGAAGACAAGGGTGTGAAGAAATGGAAACTCACATCCGTGGCCAGTGGGAGATCCGCTGAGAGAACCGTAAGAGAGAGAGCGCCACCTTCCAGCAAAACAAAATCATCTCTAACTGTTGACCAAGCCATTCTACCTCTGGAACGTTTTGTTGTGTTGTTGTTAGAAATGCAAATGGGCAAAGATACATCCATCAGGATTGAATGCCAATTGCAGCACAATTTAATATAACAAAAAGCAATAGATAACCCGGGTGTCCATTACTCAAAGAATGGTTAAATAAATGATGGCACATCCATACAATAAAGTACTACGCGCTTGTCAAAAGAGCACGAGGTAAGACTATATAAACCGAGTGGAAAGAAGTCAATGATATAGAAAGTAAAACCAATAAGTAGCAAGACGCTATGTCTAAAATCTCATAGCATTTAAAAACACAATGTTCACATGTGTTTGTATGAGTATTTTTAAAAGTCTGGAAGGCTGTGCAGATGACTAAAGGAGCCTATCCCTAGGGAATGAAATGTAGGATAAAGGTGCCTTTTTTCTTTAGATGACATATTTTTATTTACTTTGACTATTGCATGTGATGAGTATGTATCGGTAAGAAGAAATTATTTTAATAAAGTAATTTTTACATTTGAGCTGCTACAGACCAGGCTGGGAATAGTAGACTCATCCTTAATATTGATACTTGTTCTGTGACGGTTCACAGGTTTGATTGGAAACAGCCCCTTCCTGTTCAGACCCCCTTTCCCGCACCCGGCATTCTGTATGAAATGATGTATGAGGATCGTGGAGACAGGAAGGTAGAAGAGAATGATAGGGCGAGACAGGGGACGGAAAGGAAAGTAAGGACTTGCCCAAATGAAAAGCAGTCATCAACACTGTGTATGTGGAGTATTTATGATACGGTAAAACATATTAAAAAACAGAATTCAAAAATGTTTCATTTGTATGATCATAACTAGAAAAGAGACAATCATTTGGCAAAGGTCTGGGGGTGCAGGGTGGAGAGGGTCCATGGAGGAAAAGGGGGGACATCTGTAATATTTTCAATAATAAAGATAATTTTTTTTTAATCAGAGAAGTAAATGGACTCCCCCAGCCTCCAAAAAGGATCCTGGAGGAAAGCAAACAAAATGCTAACAATGGTAGACCAGAGAGCCTGGACGGCGAGACGGGATTCTTTACTTCCTCACGTTCTACATTTTTTTTAATGAGCGGATCATTGGTCGTGTAAACAACCACACTTTTATTTGAGATGTGTTATCACTCCCAACACTTCACCCTCCCCAGTACCACCAGAGGT